TTTTTCGAGTGATTGCTCATGTCCATTCAAATGAGGTGCATGCGTGCTGTGTGCACGGTTCCCGGAGCGTTTTTTCCCCAGCAGTACCCGTCGGGCCGGCAGGTCGCCCCCTGGAGTGGCGCCGCTATAGCGGAGCATAAGTCCCCCTGCCGACCCTCCCCCTCCTCAGTTCCTTCTTACTGCCCATGACAGTCATTGGAGCTTGCTGTCTTGTGCAGATCCCAGCTTGTTCTCTTTGCTCGTTGGCAGTTCTTTGTTCTCAAGTAGTTGTAGTTAAGTACTTAGAGAGAGTTCTCCTTTGAATCCCCCCTCCCCCGGGGGGGACGGTGATGCCAGGCCCGCAGGGCTTTAAACTTTGTGTGGCTTGCACGAAGCCTATGCCCGAGGGAGACCCCCATGAACAGTGCCTTAAGTGTTTGGGGGAATCTCACCTTGCGGACGCCTGCAAGATCTGCCAGGGGTTCAAGCCACGTACCAAGAGGGAAAGGGATTCCTCTCTGAAGTTGCTCCTGATGGAGTCGGCACTGCAGCCCACGTCCTCCAGAGAAGCGTTGGCGCGTAGTGTACCAGCATCGGTGCGGGAATTGCGTTCCGACCTCCCCCGCACCGCGGTACAGAAGAAGTTGGCACCATGGCACCGATCTCAATCCCCGGCACCAAACGGGTGAAGGACTCCAGGGGGAGATCACCCAAGGGCAAGGCCCCACAAGGGGATACAGAAGAGGAGGGAGACTTCACACAGGGCCGGGAGACTTCGCACAAGGCTAGGAGCCCTGGGCCTATCCTGGCCCACCGCCCCTCCACGCCGGAGGCGTTCCAGGCAGCTCAGGAACTGATAGAGCTAACAGCCTCACCTCCATCACCCCCCTCCTCGGAGGGCTCTTCGACTTCATTACCAGAAACCTTGGGGGCACCGGTGGTCTCCCCAACCCCAGGACCCTGGCCGGCACTGGTAGAGTCGAGGGACCAACCGTCGCTGCCAGCCGCAACAATACGGGGTCAGACTGTGTCGGCACCGGTGGAGGCTGCATTGTCTGGTTGATCCCTGGGGCATTGCTGCAGGCACCCATGCGCCCTGTGGCCCCGTTGGCAGGCACCGCCTCTGCAGGCACCGCAGATACCGGCTCTGCAGGCACCGAGTACGGCACCGGTATCCCCAGATTTGAGCCCGGGATCAGGACTGTTCTACCAAGGGGTACCGTGCGGTCCAGTGCCGTAGTTACTGTACCTGCAGCCCATTCCTCACGCTGGGAAGTCGTAGTCCATGGCACAGTTTAGGCCTGAGGCGATACAGGGTCAACCCTTGATGGCGCCACCATGGTCGGCGTCTGAGCTGTCGTCAGAATCTGAGGTAGAGTTCTGCAGGATCTTCTCACATGTCATCACAGTACTGTTCTCGCTCTCGGCACCGGACGGCACTGCAGGGGTTCGAACAAATGTGGCCGCCACAGGTGCAGCAGCCCTGGCCATTTTGGACGCTCTGGGCCTATCACCAGTGGCAGGGGCTGCTTCCGCCTTCTGGTTCAGGCAGTGGGTCGTGGAGGAGGTCCATGCCTTCAGCCTTGTTGTCCCGAGCTCCGCCATCACCCAGGGGAGCTAGCCCTAGGGGGCACCCGGACCTGGGGGAACCACTGGCAAATTTCCAGCAGCGGCCAGAGGTGCCACAGCAGCCGGTCCCTGCTCCGGTGCTGGTGGAGCAGCCGGCCCTGAGTCGTGAGTCGACATCCTCGTCGTCTCCGGACGAGGCCTTGGCAGACCCGGACCTAGCTATGCCAGCCATGGACATGAGGTTGCATCAAGAGCTGCTTTGCTGACTTGTGGCAAATCTCGGGATGCCAGTACAGCTGGTGACCGAGGAATCAGACCCAATGGTGGACATCCTCACAGAGGATACCCCGGCAAAATTGGCCCTGCCACTGAATAAAACAGTGGCAAAAATCACGAACACATTGTGGCAGATGCCAGCATCTCTATCCCCGACGCTCAAGGGTGTCGAGAGGAGGTATTATGTCCCCCAGTCGGGGCACGAGCACCTCTATTCGCACCCGGTGCCAGGTTCTATTGTGGCCCAGGCAGTAGCCCAGAAGGAGGGGCCGGGGCAGCCTAGCCCTTCTCCAAAAGCAAAATACCCTAAGCGTATGTATCTAATGGGGCATAAGGTCTATGCGACTGGGGTGGGGTGCAATTGCGCATCGCCAACCAGCAGGCAATGCTCAGTCACTATGCCTATAACACCTGGCAAGCAATGGAGAGATTCCGGAATAGGTTGCCCCAGGAGAACAGGCAGGAGTTCTCTGTCCTGGCCACAAAGGGCAGAACAATAGCACGCACTGCCCTACAAGTGTCCCTGGATGCAGTAGACTCGGCAGCCAGGATGATGGCATCCGGTGTGGTGATGTGACGTAACACCTGGCTGCAGGTTTCAGGGATCCTGTTGGACCTGCAGGCCACTATACAGGTTTGCAGAGAATACCGACTCCAGGCTTCACAGCCTGAAAGATACCAGGTCGATTCTTCAGTCATTGGGTATACATACGCTGGCTCCCCAATGCAGACAGTTGCCGAGTAGGCAGCCGCATAGGGCCCAGCTGCAGGCCACACTGCCGGACTATTGGTGGCATAGACCCCGAGGTCCTACTGGGGGTTTCGCCAATGTGCCGGGCTCAGGCTGCTGTCAGCTCTGCCCAGATGCAGGCAGGGGCACCACTCAGCCCCTTTCCAGTCTACCCAAGCTGCCATTTTCAAGTGGTCCTACTGGGGGTTTTGCCAATGTGCTGGGCTCAGGAGCTCGCAGTAGGCATTGCTGGCCCCACCCGGATGCAGGCAGGGGTCCCACTCAGCCCCCTCCCAACCCACCTAAGCAGTCGTTTTGAAGGGGCACTCGGGGACTCGCATACTGATACCCACTATTTCCCCCCAGTTTGGGAACCGGTTGTCCCACTTTGCCCAGGCCTGGTCGGTCATCACCTCGGACAAATGGGTGCTGGACATAATATCACGGGGGTACTCTATTCCCTTCTTGGACTCCTGCCCCCCCTTTCTCCCTCCCTGTCCCTCTTCAGGGACCTGTCTCATGAGGCCCTCCTCAGATAGGAGGTCCTTGCACTCCTGGAGAAAGGAGCGATGGAAATGGTCCCTTCCCACCGGGAGGGCAGGGGCTTTTATTCCCGCTATTTTCTTATTCCGAAGCCAAAAGGAGGCCTTCGGCCCATCCTGGACCTCAGGGCCCTCAACAAACACATAAAAAAGGAGAGGTTTCGGATGGTGACCCTGGCCTCAATCAGTCTGGTGCTGGACAAGGGAGATTGGTATAAGGCCTCTGATTTGAAGGATGTCTGCTTTCATGTTGCAATTCGGACAGACCACAGGAGGTTCCTCTGGTTCATGGTATCCCACCAACACTTCCACTTTGCTGTCCTTCCCCTTTGGGCTGTTGCCGGCCCCCAGGGTTTTTGCCAATTGTATGGCGGTGATGGCAGTCTTCCTCAGGCGACTTGGGATCCAAGTCTTTCCATACTTGGATGACTGGCTTATCAGGGGTCAGTCTAGAGACCAGATAGTCACGCACATAGGGTTGGCGAGGTCTCTCTTCGACAGACTCGGACTCGTCGTAAACGAGGAAAAGTCAAAATTGACACCAATACAGAACATAGAGTTCATGGGGGCGGCTCTGTGCGCCAGGACAGGGCGCGCTTACCTCCCGCTGTCCAGATTCCAAGCGAACAGTATCCTAATATCCAACCTTCGGCAGTCCCCGTTGACGACAGCGCTGTCGTGCATGAAACTCCTAGGTCACATGGCGGCCTGCACCTATGTTGTCAGGCACGCCAGACTGAGGCTCAGGCCGCTGCAGGTGTGGTTGGTGAGATTGTTCAAGCCTTTCCCAAGCCTTGCACTCCCTTGACACGAAAAGGGCGCCGGCGTTTTATATAGACAGAACGAGGCCGTTTCACAAGTCATCACAGCTGTTTATTGCCTATGCTGAGCAGGTGAAAGAGACGTCAGTTTCGGCCCAAGGGCTGTCGGGGTGGATATCCACCTGCATTAGGAAGTGCTACACTCTGGTGCACAGGGAGCCGCCCTGTGTGTCGGCGCATTCCACTAGGGCACGTGCTTCGTCTGTGGCCTTCGGGGCCCAAGTCCCGATTCTTGAGATCTGTAGGGCAGCTACGTGGTCCTCTGTCCATATGTTTAAAGAGCATTGTGCCCTCACTCAACAGGCACAAGAGGATTCCACCTTGGACGCAGTGGTGTTGGGCTCTATTCTATAAAACAAAAATGAAAAGGGGGGGATGAGTGGTACGCTGTAGTGTTACGTGCCTGCTGTACCTACCTGTTTTGAGTTTCTGTGTATGTTCTACGGTTGCACTTCTTGATTAAAGTCCTCGTTTGTCGCTGAATACCAGTGTGGTTGTTCTGTTAGCTAAAAAAGGTGGCTCCGACCCCGTCTCCGGTGGGTACCTTGGAAGTCACCTCATTCGAATGGACATGAGTAATCACTCGAAGAAGAAAACAGGGTTACTTACCTGTAACTGTTGTTCTTCGAGATGTGTTGCTCATTTTCATTCGATTCCCCCCTTGCCTCCCCTGCGTCGGAGTTTTCTGGCAAGAAGGAACTGAGGAGGGGGAGGGCCGGCACGGGTACTTATGCTCCGCTATAACAGCACCACTCCAGGGGGCGACCTGCCAGCCCGACTAGTACCGGTGGGGAAAAAATGCTCTGGGAACCATGCACGTGGCGCGCATACACCTCATTCGAATGGACATAAGCAACACATCTCGAAGAACAACTGTTACAGGTAAGTAACCCTGTTTTGTCAATCTTCTGATCATCAAAGGAGGAAGGATGCACATATAGTCTGTTGTGTAAGGTTCCTATATTGCAAATATCTGCAGATTCTTCATCAAGATTGCCACCATCAGCAGTAGCCTAGAGATGGTACAATTAGTTTTTAATGTTTGTGTTTATATATGGTGGTAAGCTCTGCTCTGTTATATTGCTATATTTTGATGTTTAATTCTTTAGAGTGATCAAATAGTCAATGTTGAAAAGTTGAAACAGCTTTTGTTTCTCTAATCTTTCTTTAGTTCCCTTTCTCAATCCCATGCTTAACTCAGGCATTGGGAACATGTAGAGATTGAAAAACAGATGCCAGCTGGACTAGATTAATCACTTGCAGATGGGAGTTGGTGCAGTATAATTCACTCCTATTGCTACCTTGCCAGTGATAGTGCAATCTAGAGCCAGTCTCTCACTCCAGCTGGATTAAATCCCATTGTAGAGTACTGGGTAGATGTATAATTCAGTGGGGGGGATGGTCACTTGGAGGCTTCAGAGTTTGAGGTGGAGTGTTGGCCTTGAGGCACATAGGGTACATAGTTAGACTACTGTCAAATTTGCCATTATAGCTGTTTGGTGACTCTTTCAGTTGGCTATTTTGTATATTTACAAAACGTAGGAAACATCATCTGTTTTCATGAAATTTATGGAGACATCAAGTCGGATCCCGAAAACAGACATTGTTATCCTATTTTCTAAAATTCTTTATCTTTTTATTACCATTTAAAAAAGAACACTTTTAAAGCAGTGATTTCCTAAAAGAGATATTAAGCATATAATTTTTTTTTACTATTAAATAGTTTTTATATTCAAGAAGTCAAACAAAAGACTTTATTATATTTGTGTGATGGGTGTCTTTTAACAGGTGCATGAAAGATCACACACAGGAGATCGACCATACCAGTGTGAACACCCTGGTTGTGGCAAAGCATTTGCAACAGGTAACGTTTTGGAGAGTGTCTTAGGCTGTAGCTTACTACAGATCTCCATATAAGACATGTTTTTGTGAATGCAATTTTTACACAAGATTTAAATCTATTTATGAGACTTTTATAGAAGTGGACGTGTTTTCAGCTAATATAGCTTAGTAAAGATGGAATAAAGTATATGGAAAAGAGTATTTTAAGTATTATTGAAATATAAATGTAATGGAAAAAGAAGAAAATGTGTACTCTGACATCCTATTATGAGTTTCTTCACTATACACAGAAAAATCTATTAACGTGGAGTAAGTTGCATGAGTTACATGAGGTAAAGATAAAAGGTGCAACTTGCTGGCTTTAGATAAGGATATTTGAGCCTCTTATGCCCAGTGGAAAAGAATTTTGATAGGAGATAATCTGTTTCAAGTGGTGTGATTGATCTGGTTCTTTATCACAGTCACAGCGAGGCGTAACATTTCTCATAAATTAAGTGAACTTTATAGCTCATACAGACTTTTCCATTTGTGCATGACATTTCATTTGATCCTATAAAATGCAGTGATGAGATGAGTATATAGAATATGGAGGATAGTAATACAAGCACTAGCTGGTTTTAAAGTGATATTTTCTTGGTTTTTGAAAACTATAATATATAGAAACAAGAGATGAGGTTAAAAAAACCTCAGAAACTTGAAAGAGTAAGAATGTTGCATGAAGAACTCCTTCCATTGTCATATAGAAAGCCTGGTTTCTTTGTAGGCATATTAATATAAGAAATACTGGGCTGAAAGACCAACAAAGAAACAACTGCATTTCAGTAGCTGCACAGAAGTTTAGTTGCACAGTGTTTTTAATTTTCAGTGTATAGAATGAGAAGCTGTATACAGTTGAAACCGAGGGACAAATATATTTTTCCTTTTCATGTCTAAATATATTTTTGGTCAGTTATAATACCAGTTGAACCTGGCAAACCCTGACGATGTTTAAATGTGTCTTCAAGGATTAAAATACATAGATTTAATATTAGTAGTTTTTTAGTTGGATTTTTAGGCTGCTTTGTATTGCAAAAATAAGAAAACATAAGTTAGGAATTGACTAACTCGGTAGTCTTGCTTCATGTTTTCAGATAGTGGGGTTTTTTTTAATCAAAACTTCAGTGTAGCAAGAGCACATTGTAAAGTTAGATGAGGAACCACATTCGGAGAATCCATGGCAGTTGTTCAGTAGTAATATGTACATCACTAATTGATTGGGAAAGATATATATTCTCTATGGCTGTGTCTACATTGGCACCCTTTTCCGGAAAAGGGATGCTAATGAGACAAGTTGGAATTGCAAATGCTGTGGGGGCCCCCCCCCCCCCCGGTTCGTAACTAGGGGTCTGACTTAAGTCGGACCCACGTAACCTGGGGACTGCCTGTAAGGCCTTTTCCGGAAGATCCCTTATTCCTCTTAAAATCAGGAATAAGGGATCTTCCGGAAAAGGCTTTATTTTCCGAAAGATCCCGTCTAGACTGGTGCTTTTCTCCAGCAAAGCCCTGAGCCGGAAAAAAGCGGCAGCCATGTTCATGCAAATGCCGCGGGGGATATTTAAATTCCCCGCGGCATTTGCAATTCCAACTTGTCTCATTAGCATCTCTTTTCTGGAAAAGGGTGCCAATGTAGACACAGCCTCTGTCTTCAGCAACTCTGAGTTCTCTCGTTCAGAATTTTTCTAAGAGAATGTTCACAGTAGAGGGTCCTCAGCTCCAAAACTTAGGCCCCCTTGTAATTTCACCAGAACCCCAATTTTGAGCATAGTGCTAGGCAGTCCGTGTATGACCTAATACAACTCCCATTGAAGTGAATGGAAGCCTTTCTATTGAGTTCCTGTTGTACTCTGGATTATGCCCTTGTATTTCTGGGTAGAACCATAGAATCATAGAGCTAGAAGAGACCTCAGGAGGTCATCAGATCCAGCCCCCTGCCCATGACAGGACCAATCCCAACTAAATCAACCCAGTCAGGGCTTTGTCAAGCTGAGACTTAAAAACCTCTAGTGATGGAGATTCCACCATCTTCCTAGGTAACCCATTCCAGTGCTTCACCACCCTCCTAATGAAATAGTTTTTCCTAGTATCCAACCTTAGACCTCTCTCACTGTAACTTGAGTCCATTGCTCCTTGTTCTTCCATCCGTCACTATTGTGAACAGCCTTTCCCCATCCTCTTTGGAACCTTCCTTCAGGAAGTTGAAGGTTACTATCAAATTCCCTCTTACTCTTCTCTTCTGCAGACTAAACAAACCCAAATCCCTCAGTCTCTCTTCATAGGTCATGTGCTCTAGCCCCCTAATCATTTTGGTCACCCTCCTCTGGACCCTCTCCAATGCGTCCACATCCTTTCTATAGTGGGGGGCCCAGAACTGGACACAGTATTCCAGATGTTGCCTCCTCAGAGCCGAATAAAGAGGAATAATCACTTCTCTGGATCTGCTAGAAATACTCCTAATGTACCCTAATATGCCATTAGCCTTCTTGGCTACAGGGGCACACTGTTGACTCATCCAGCTTTTCATCCACTGTAATCCCCAGGTCCTTTTCTGCAGAACTGCTACTTAGCCATTCAGTCCCCAGCCTGTAACAATGCTTGGGATTCTTCCATCCCAAGTGCAGGACTCTGCACTTGTCCTTGTTGAACCTCATCAGATTTCTTTTGGCCCAATCCTCCAATTTGTCTAGGTCACTCTAGATCCTATCTCTACCCTCCAGCGTATCTACCTCTCCTCCTAGCTTAGTGTCATCCACAAACTTGCTGAGGGTGCAATCCATCCCCTCATCCAGGTCATTAAGAAAGATGTTGAACAAAACCGGTCCAAGAACAGATCCTTGGGGCACTCCACTAAAAACTGACTGCCAACCTGACATCAAGTCGTTGATCACTCCCCATTGGGCTGGACAGTCTAGCCAGCTTTCTATCCATCTTACAGTCCATTTATCCAATCCATACTCCCTTAACTTGCGGACAAGAATACTGTGGGAGACCGTATCAAAAACTTTGCTAAAGTCATGGTATATCACATCCACCGACTTTCCCATATCCACAGAGCCAGTTACCTCATCATAGAAACTAATCAGATTAGTCAGGCACGACTTGCCCTTTGTGAATCTATGTTGACTATTCCTCATCACTTTCCCTTCTTCCAAATGCTTCAAAATGCATTCCGTGAGGATCCCCTCCATGATTTTTCCAGGGACTGAGGTATGGCTGACTGGTCTGTAGTTCCTTGGATTGTCTTTCTTTCCTTTTTTAAAGATGGGCACCACATTTGCCTTTTTCCAATCATCCGGGATTTCTTCCAATCTCCATGAGTTTTCAAAGATAATGGCCAAAGGATCCGCAGTGACATTTGCCAACTCCCTCAGTACCCTCGGATGCATTAAGTCCGGGCCCATGGATTTGTGTATTTTTAGCTTTTCTAAATAGTTCGTAATTTGTTCTTTCCCCACCAAGAGCTGTCCTCCACCTTCCCATGTGTTGCCTTGTGCAATTGTCTGGGAGCTGACCTTGTCGGTGAAGACAGAGGCAAAGAAAGCATTGAGTCCTTCATGTTTTCTCACATCATCTGTCACTAGGTTACCTACCTCATCCAGTAAGGGCCCCACACCCTCTCTGATGACCCTCTTATTGCTAACATGCCTGTAGAAACCTTTCTTTTTATCCTTCACATCCCTTGCTAACTGCAATTCCAATTGTGCTTTCACCTTCTTTGTAACTCCCCTGCATTCTCAAGCAATATATTTATACTCCTCCCTAGTCATCTGTCCAAGTTTCCACTTCTTGTAAACTTCCTTTTTGTGTTTAAGCTCACCAAGGATGTCCCCAGTTGCCTACCATATTTGCTTTTCTTGCTGCGCATCGAGATGGTTTCTTCCTGTGCCTTTAATAAGGCTTCTTTAAAATACTGCCAGCTCTCCTGGACTCCTTTCCCCTTGTGACAGACCACAACCTGCAAACTGCAAAACTCTTATAGAAGGCAGCCATATTGGGAGGTGTGTTAACGCTTTCCTGTTTCCAAATTAGCCTCATCTGAACAGGGCCCAGCAGCCAGGGTAGAAAATAGAGGCCTAATTAGGAAGCAGCTTACAGCTGGAGTTAATTAAACACCTGCTGCCAATTAAGGCCTCCGAGTGGGGAGGGGGCCCTAGGAGGGAGTTTTTGGAAGGTGCACAGAGGAGAGCAGAGCAGAGCAAGGGAATGATGAACCCCAAGGACTGGCCTGTGACGAAAATGACTCAGTAAGTGGGGACCCTTTCCTCTAGGGAAATCCCAGGGCAACAAAGGGGTCTCTGTGAGTCTCTGAGATGCTCAAGTAACCTCCAAGAAGCACAGAACCACCAGGGGGAGCTACCAAGGGACTTTGTCATACCCTTCATGTAAGCATCCCAGGGAATCTTGCCCATCAGTTCGCTGAGGGAGTCAAAGTCTGCTTTTCTGAAGTCCAGGGGGGTTTTATTTTGCTACTCTCTTTTCTTCCTTTGGTTAGGATACTGAAATCGACCATCTCATGATCACTGTTTCCCAAATTGTCACCCACCTCTACTTCCCCTACTAGTTCCTCCCTGTTTGTGAGCAGGAGGTCAAGCTGCGCATGGCCCCTGGTCAGTTCCTTCAGCACTTGTACCAAGAAGTTATCCCCAACATTCTCCACAAACTTCCTGGATCGTCTGTGTACTGCTGTATTGGTCTCCCAACAGATGTCAGGGTGATTAAAGTCACCTATGAGAACCAGGGCCTGCAATCTGGAAGCTTCTCTCACTTGTCCGAAGAAAGCCTCGTCTACCTCATCCACCTGCTCCGGAGGTCTGTAGCAGACACCAACCACAACATCACCCCTGTTGTTTCTACCTCTAAACTTAACCCATAGACTCTCAACAGTCTTTTATCCCTCTAAATACTGGAGCTCTGAGCAATCATACTGCTTTGTTACATATAATGCAACTCCTCCTCCCTTTCTTCCCCTCCTGTTCTTCCTGAACAGTTTATACCCTTCCATGACAGTGCTCCAGTTATGCAAGTCATCCCACCAAGTATTGCTGTTATATCACAGAATTCTTACTACTGATATTTGCCTTAGAAGGGGAGATGGTTTGTGGCTATTGACTATTTTGGTCAGTGAGTATGAACGTGTTAATATGTTTCAAAAAAAGTGAAGCTTGACTGGGTGCAGTTTTATAACTCTAAACTCTATTTGTAAAATAAAAAAACAGCGAATAAAATGGGAGTCACTGTGTGTTTGAATTCAGTAGGATGAGGATTGAGCTCTGACTGAAACTTTTATGTTGAGAGTAGCTGGTGAGAGAGAGTGAGAGCACAGATTTTTCTGGGCTTTATTTTTTTCTATAGGAGCTTGTGTGACCATTTTGACATATTCATCAGGATTTCTCCTATTGTAAAGAAAATATGGGACAAGTACTTTTTCACAAATAAAATGAAACAGGATTTCTAAAGTGCAAGCAGTACTTTGGTTATGAAACTGATATGTTTGGAAAGTGAGATGAACAGAAGAACTGATTTTTGTTACTGATTGATCAGAGGACTTTATAACTAGACTGGCAAGTCCAGCTTTTGTGACCTGATACATTCTGAGTGTTAGATATTTCTGTTTTCAGTATTATAACATCTAAGATTCCTCCTCTCACCTCCTCCACCTTTCAATTTTCAAAATTGTTTTCAAGGTTACGGATTAAAAAGCCACGTACGAACCCATACAGGAGAGAAGCCCTATCGGTGTACAGAGGAGAACTGCACCAAGTCATTCAAGACTTCTGGAGACCTGCAGAAACACATCAGAACTCACACAGGTATAAGGAGTCTTTACTGCAGTCATGCACACTCTCTACTTCTTGGTTCTTTATTTTAAAGAGACACTATAGAAGGAATTTAACTCTTAGCTAATGGAGTGACACATGCTTGTGAAAGAATAAATATACTCAACTGTGGTGCACAAATGCTCTCAAAAATCCCATTTGAAGCTTACTTGGCACAACAACCTTGTAGCATTGCAGACACTGCCGGATGTCCCTGCACAATAATAATGCTCCTCATTTCAACATACAGATTTGCTTGGAACAGCGTATAGGCCTTCACTCTGCTATTACAGTTGCACTATCTTTGAACTAGGTGCATCATCATTGCATCCTACATGACTGAGTTAGTTTGTACCTTTGCAGTGCCTCTGTGGATAAAAGGTACTAGAATTGTAGCTGGAACAGAGCAATTACTCCTCAGAGTGTCAATTTGCAATGCTGTTACCATTCAGTGATAATTTTGCCATTTCAGAGTTATCAAATATATTGACTAGAACCAAGAATTTCTGAGGTGGTACTCATCTTGACTTGGGTCTTCTTTTCCCCACACCCTCAGAGCAATACAGAAGGAAACAAAAAGATGCCCTAAAACCCCCCAAAACTCCAAACATTTCAATGAAACTTTTCAGCTATATAAAAAATAAAGCCTTTTGGTATATCATATGGAGAGATAGATCACTGGAAAAATAAAAAGAATAAAAATCAGTTATTAGCAGCAGCTATATGCATAGAAGTATTGTATGCACGCACCATCTACTTGCTGTAATAGTGGTTATGCCGACTGTGTTTATATCTATAGAGTGTCACCTTCATTCGTGAGATCTGACAAAGGGGCATTAATTTAAAAATGCACAGCAAGGATTACCACCCAATCCATCCTCAGCCTGTTATGACACTAAATACTCCATGATAGTGCTCTAGCCCTTCTTTGTTCTTCTTTTCTCAACCAAGTACCCTAAAGATTGATAGAAAAGTGGGCCTCCAGTTTATTAGAGGGGGTGGAATAGTGGAAAACTTGTTGGACCAAATGAAGAATGTCCATCCTCCAGGCTGTGGTCTTTGGTTTTTAGAGGTTAAAAAAGAGAGATGGAAGAAACCCCTTAGTTGTAATTCAGGTCCATAAGAGAGAACCTAAACCACAGACAAATGACAATTTATAAAAATTACAGAATGAATGAAAATTATTCCATCTTCCTGGCCATCTGCCAGTGGGCCATGGACACGGGTGATTGTTCATGATGGTATCTGCATGAGGGTATTTGTTACCTTCTCCTTCTAGCTCATATGCAGATCTTTGTTGAGAATTGAACTATACTAATGCGCTCATTACACAGTACAGACAAATGAACATTTAAGTACCATGGACTAGGGCTCTCTGACTTTTTCATAGGATTGACCTCATCTGAACAGAAAAATTGTCCTCCTTTCACTTTTGCAATCATATATATTTGACAATATAGCATTTCCTTAAATAGAAAAGTCATTTTAGTAAAGAATGTTATATATTTTAATACAATTTAGCAGCTACAACTAAGGAATTGAGCCAGCATCATGTAATCAGTTCACACATCATCAGGAAGTCTTTCACAGATCATCACTGGTTCATGGACCGTAGTTTGGGAATCTCAGACATTGGATGCTGCACCAGGAATTATGAATGGATGCAACAATTCACAGTCTCAGTAGTTGGAGTGAGTTCTGTCTGTGTACAAACAGAATGATGTACCCAAAACAAGAGGTTAATGTGGATGCACTGAACCAATGCAAGTTGCAACAGTGCACTTCTCTTCTGTAGACAACGCTGGAGTCCCTCAACTCTGTATTGTTATCGTGAACTAAAGCTGATATTGATCGACGCAAGATCTTCTTCTAACAACAAAACATGCTCTTTTCAGTGATGAAGCACCCGGCATAGTCTGCATCACTGAAACCTAGAAGGATGACTGCACAACCTGTGTTGGTGCACTTAGTTTCCCCCAAGATTCTCAGTATATCACAGACCTAGATAGCACAAGAAGGCATATAGCAATGCATTCATTCTGCAAACCTGAAATGCAAAAGAAGTGCCTCAGGTAAGATCACTTCATTTGAATAAATTAATCTTACATTGGAAAGCAGAGCTAAAGCTACCATAGATTTTTATGCTCACTTACAGACGACCACAGACTAGACACCTCGCAATGGAGCTCACTGATAACTTGCTAGAGACCATGGTGAAATACTCCAGAATTATCATCCTAGTTGATTTCATTATTTATATGAACAAGACCACAGATACAAAAGCCCAGAAACTCATCTTCTCACTTCCCTCCTTAAGATGTTCACAGATTCTGGTTTAATCTACAAACTTAGTCACACTTTGGACCTGATCTTTAGGTTCTATATTAGGATAGAGGACATCACAACCTAGCCGCTATTTTGCACAGATCCTTGTATCATAACTTCAGAGGTCTCAGACCTTCCATTTTCCATGCAACAAGATACGTGATTCAGCCATGAAGACTCATGGACTCAAACAAATTCAAAAGCCTTTTCAAGGACAACAGTACCTCACCTGCAGGATGGGGAGTTGTCTTTCTACAATGCCCTCATCCATTGTTATGCCAGTCCACAATTGGCCCCCTTGTCCCCATTACCCATGCAGATGTTGGCTTTCTGACACACTCTGTTCTGGATGAAGAGAGAAGGGGATGGAAACTTGAGTCCTGATGGCAGAAGGCTGCTTCAAATAATATGAAACATAAGAAATGCCTCAACGCCTGCCCACAGGGCTTCCTTCCAGTATTATGGCATCTGTGCTGGTGCTCCAGTCCCTGCAGGAGGCTGGAGCACACAAAATCTACTAGCATGGGCCGGTATGTGGGGAATGTAGGGAGTGACTTTCTCCTTCTCAGACTAGAACCATGTCAGTGAGGGGTGGTTGTTTTAGTTGGGTTTTTTGTTTTGCTTCTCACTTGTGTATGATTTTTCTCACTTGTGTATGATTTTTTTGTGGCTGATTTTTTTTTTTTTTCTGTGGGTCAGCAGCCCCGAACCTAAAAAGGTTTTTCACCCTGGCTTACGCTGTGCTGTGGCTGTATTGAAGACCAAGAGAACTTCTGTGGAAGCTGCCAAATCCTGTTCCAAGAACCTAACTATTTTGGTCCTGAGTGCCTACAACAGTGGTTCTCAACCTAGTTATCGTTGTGGGCTGCATCCTGTCTGTCTGTGTGTCTCTGTCTATTTCTATTCATCTATCCATTCACACACACACACACACACACACACACACACACACTATCTGTGTGGCCCTGAGGATGTCACATTGGTTTCACCTGTGTGCTGATTTGGTCATGAGTTGAGACTCACTGGCTTGCAACCTGCAAAAAAGCCAAGGACCAAGTACGGCTAAGAATGCCATTTTGCTGCAAAGATCATGTAACATTTGAAGCCTTCTCAAACAGCATGAACCTATTCTGCCTCTGTTCACCAACCAAAAACCCACTTGCATTCCCAGAGTTGAGTGCATTCAACTCAAGAAGTTTTGCATATCCTAAAGGAGATTTGACACAAGACTCGTAAATATGATCCATACCCTTCCTTGCAAGAAAGAGTTGTGGACACCAGTGCCACTCCTCAGTGAAATAGCCATTGTCTTATTCAAAGAAACAGGACTATGTAGCACTTTATAGACTAACAGGATGGTTTATTAGGTGATGAGCTTTCATGGGCCAGACCCACTTCCTCAGATCAAATAGTGGAAGAAAATTGGCATAACCATATATACCAAAGGATACAATTAAAAAAATGAACACATATGAAAAGAACAAATCAAATTTCAGAACAGAAGGGGGATGGAGGAGGGGACAAGGGGGGGAAGTAAATGTCTGTGAGCTAATGATATTAGAGGTGATAATTGGGGAAGCTATCTTTTGTAATGGGTAAGATAATTAGAGTCTTTATTCAAACTTAAGTGTAAAGTGTCGAATTTAAGCATGAATGACGGTTCAGAGGATTCTCTTTCAAGTGTAGTCTTAAAAGGCCTTTGAAGCAGGATGCAGGTAATCAAGTCGTTGAGACAATGTTCTTGCTGGGTGAAATGGCAAGAAACTGTTCTTTGTGATCCTGTCTAATATCTGTTTTGTGGGCATTGATCCTTTGGCGAAGTGTCTGAGACGTTTGTCCAATGTACATAGCGGACGGACACTTTCGGCACATGATAGCATAAATTATATTTCTGGATGCGCAGGAATATGTGTTCTTGATCTTATAACTCACTTGGTTGGGTCCAATAATGGTATCAGCAGAGTGAATATGTGGACAAAGCTGGCAACGGGGTTTGTTGCAAGGGAAGGTTCCAGGGTTGGTATTAGTGTGGTATGTCTTGTGGTTGTTGATAAGAATCATCTTGAGGTTTGGTGGTTGTCTATAGGAGACTGTGGGTCTGTCTCCCAGAGCCTCTCAGAGTTTAGTATTCTGTTCCAGTATAGGCTGTAGTTTATTGATAATGTGTTGGACAGGTTTAAGTTGGGGGCTGTAGGTGATAAGTGATGTTCTATTGTTGGTTTTCTTGGGTCTGTCTTGAAGTAGTTGGTTTCTAGGTATTCACCTGGCTCTTTCAATTTGCTTTTTTATTTCTCCGGGTGGGTAGTTGAGGTTTATAAATGCTTGGTAGAGACCCTGAAGTTTCTGGTCTCTGTCAGTGGGATTAGAGCAGATGCGGTTGTATCGAAGGGCTTGGCTATAGATGATGGATCGTATGGTGTGTTCTGGATGGGAGCTGGAAGCATGTAGGTAACTGTATGAGTCAGTGGGTTTTCTGTAGAGAGTGGTGTCTAATTTTCCATTGCTGATTTGTACTGTGGTGTCCAGGAAATGGATCTCTCGTGTAGAATGGTCCAGGCTGAGATTGATAGTGGGGTGTAGGTGGTTAAAATCTCTGTGGAATGTCTCCAGTGTTTCTTGGCCATGCGTCCAGATCATAAAGATGTCATCGATGTAGCATAAGTAGAGAA